ACAATATACAATGATTGTTTCGTCCATGAATGTACCTAGGACCAATGGGCGAGGAGCTAGAGAAACTCAAAAATAGACCAAATTTGCGTATTTTGCAATAAATAGTGTTCTTCGTCGGTTTTCTAGAGGAAAAATCAACTAGGTAGAATTATATTTCCACACCTGCCGCCTATTATTCGTTAGCGGAGGATAAACAACCAAGTGTGTTCATATACCACCAGATATCGGATGAGAGTACCTACAAATACTGTCTGTAGGTTGAACGAGGAGGTGGTACATTCATTTTACTTGATTTTTGGGGATTTTTTCTCCTCGTTTCTATAAAATAAAAATATGCGTATTATTTCAATATACCTATTTGTAGTGGGACAAATCAGATAATTTGCCCCAAAATGTCACTGTGTTTAACACATTTTTCTATCAGGGAGCCAAGAAGAAAAATCCATAGCTTGTCAGTGACACAAAGATAAGGAAGATAACAACCACCACGCCTATAAGCACTCTAGGTTAGGTTAGGTTCCATGTGAGTGGGGCGAACACCTCCCCTCCACTGCGACCCCAGATGGGTCTATTGTGGCTCACCCCTAGAGGTTACAGTTCACCGTACAATACACATCTTTTTACAAAGTTCATGGTTGAATTGGGTGAGATTTGTCTGAAATCGATAGGTTCTAGGTTGGTAAAGCCAAATGTGTCGAACCTTAGTCTTTCTAAGCTAGAGCATGACCATAATATGTGTTCAGCCGTTTCGTCTTCCACACAACAGAACCGACAGTCCGTTTGTTGGTTCAGACCCATCCTTCCCAGGTGGTATCTTAGACGACAGTGTCCCGTAAGCAGTCCAGTCAGAATTCGCAGGTTACCCCTGCTCCATTCTAGGATCTGCCTGGTTATTTTTTCCGATGGTTTAGGCAGGAACGCCTTCGAATGGGTTAATCCTGGTAATTCGGACCAGTACGTGAGTGTTTTTCCCTCCGCCCAGCCCGAGATAGTTGTTTTCGCCGCACTTGCGGTGACCCCAAAATATGGTTCTGGTCCTATGAACACAGATTCGGTTCCCTGTTTGGCGAGGATGTCGGCTTTCTCGTTACCCTCCACCCCCTGGTGTCCAGGCACCCACAGCAAAGTGACTCTGTTGTTAGCACCCAGGCTTTCTAGGGATTCAATGCAGCTCCATACAAGCTTGGAATTTATCTTGCTGGAGCTCAGTGCTTTAAGAGCAGCCTGACTGTCTGATACAATACTGATATTTTTGTTTACTAGAGGTTTATTCGACAACTCTCTAGCACACAATGCAATTACGAATACCTCCGCCTGAAAGATTGTAGCATATTTGCCGAGATTGACGGAAATTTCCGTCTTCGGTTTTCTGCTGAACACACCGGCTCCCACTCCACGAGGGGTTTTCGAACCATCTGTGTACATTACGTGTTCGGTCTCTGGGAATCGGACTGATCCGCTTGCCCATTCGTCTCTCTTCGGGAAGAGGACTTTGAAAGACTTTTTCACGTGTGTCTGAGTGGCCAACATGTCGGAAACCATTCCTAGAGTTTGGTGATTTTTTGTTTCATAAGCACTCTAACATACGTTCAACTTCCCGCATATCAACGAACTTTACATGAGCTCCGTAGTAATACGTAGACTGAAACGCTTTTTTTTTGCAAACGACACAACTTGAGTCAATGTTTAACTTGCTCTAGCTGCTGACTTGCTAGTCATTTATCCCCAAGCAATAACAACGTACAAGTCCACCAATGGTTGACTCACCTAGAACAGGTACCTGACGCTTGCTGAGGTGGAAAAGTTGACCGTCAAGAAAATCCTACGTTTCACCATAAGTCTGGGGTTATAAAGATGACTATCATTATTAGATGAGGATAATGGATAATCCCAACAAGGTACAAAAGGACCCGGTATTGGAGGTGGTGATAGTGCAGGTGGAGCAGATCGTGTCGGCTAAAGGGTTCTTCCATCCTCTATCTGGTGGTCTATGGTAGAAACTTGGTTTCTTTCCCTCCGCTAATGAAGAACAAGAGGCAGGTGAGGAAAACATTATTCCACCTAGTTGATGAGACAAATCCAAAACAGTCAGTGCAGGAATTGTTCTCAACTTGTCTGATGTCATTCCTCGGTATTTTCTCCACAGAGTTGTTTCGGGAACCCCCCATCTCTCAGCAGCTTGACCTATAGAATTTCCCTCCACAATAACTGCTTCCAAAGCATGCTCAATATTCTCATATCGATAGTTTCTGCGTAAATCTGTTCCTGGTTTATGAATATGTTTCCGAGGCATTTCATGTAACCCAACGAAGTATTATGATTCCAATTCAATATATTGTTCTCAATGAACTGAGTATGCATGACGATGGGTTTTTGAGATACAGATGAGACTGTTTGAGGTGAATGGAAAAGTGATGAACACAGAGTCAATCGTTGGTTCATCTGACAGACATTTTGTGAAATTCAAATAATTTACGCGCTAAATTCAAAAATAGTACCTGACGTTTCATGTATAACCCTTTTCGTTTAATATATGTATATACTCTGATTACGCATCCTATCAAAAAATAATATTTACAAACACAGCGTAATCGAAAGGAGTACCCTGTAATGAGAAAACAAGTGTTGGGTGATCAAAGGGATACAAGTTATTCAATGACCCACTCCAGTGGCGTACCCTATTAAGAAAAATAATATTAACAAATACAGCGTAATCAGAAAGATTTCCCTATAAAAATAAGTGCTGGGTAATCAAAGGAATACAAGTTATTCATGACCCAGTTCAGTGGCGTATTTAATTTGAAGAATTGATAATACGTATAGTGTGATTACAGAAGACAAATACCTAAATATGGGGATAATAGGGATAAAAAAGCATTCAGTGTTGTATCCTATAAAAACAATCATAGATAATAATAGCAGTGTAAAGAGAAAACAAGTGCAGGGTAATAAGAGAGGTAAGAAAGCAATCAGTTGTTTACAACAGAAAACAATTGGATAATTTTGAAGTAACAATAAGTTCAGGGTAATTAACAGATCCAGTGGCGCAGGCAATTGAAAAATCTTTTACATCTTATCACCAATGTGAAATTGAAATCACGGAAACCAAGTGATATCATTTATTGTTTCACGAATAGAAGGAAATTGTATTTCGATAATCATCAATACACTATGTGTGATCATTCAAGTGTGCAAAATTTTGCTTTTGACCTACCCTGTATGCTGTTTGACTAGCAACCAATCTGAGTGCACCTAAAATGATCACTGAGCATGCACCAACTTTCGGCACTATCTGTATTTTGGTTGTGCAATTCATTGAAAAGATTACCATAATTATGTTGAACACTTAAATGACCACACTGTATACACCTGTTGTAATGAAATTTAAAATTTTGATCTGGTTATAGTGTTAAATGATTCAATATTAGTTCAATGTTAGTTCATTATTATAATTAGGTGAGAGTGAAACGTGATTTTCCTTTGTAGAATATAAAAAAAAAACATTGCTAAATGACCGAACTGCAAGATAGGGTGATTTTATAGAAACTTTTAGCATTTAAGATTCATCATTTAAACATTTGATACTTGAGAGTCTTAAGTGGAGACAGTTATAAAAAAAAATTAAGATTCTAGAGCGATACATGTCTTTTGTCATTACTGACATCTGATACAGAACCACATTTTCAAAGTTTAGTTAGTTAGAAACTGGTTGAAAATCAAAATTTCATGTTCTGATATCATTCTATTAATTCATATTTATATCCCTGAAATGATACCCACATACATAATGTATCTACATCATTTTGAAAGTAATCACTATTCCTTACCTAACAGGCTCACTCCTTAGATCTTTTGCCAACTATGAAGGCAACAGAGTTGCGACATTCTAGTGTATTTTTGAAGAACAATTCAGTATCAATCAGAAGAAAAACAAATAATGAGGAATAACAACACAAGATATTTTGAATTATTTTTTAATGGCGAGATATTGAGATGTCACTTTTGGGTATTCCATTTATGATCATTTATCAGCACAGTTGGTCATCTTCTTAAATCTCAAATGTTAAATCACAAGTCGTATGGGTTGCGTGCAAGAACTGTCAGATGACCGACACTGGAGGCAAAATATTGAAACACAAACGTCACTTCACTTATTTGTTTACAAGTGATTGAAATAGTTTTTCACAATTATTTTGGCATACGAATCGTATTTTTCCGCTATTCATCAATTCGCTCATGCCATCACATTATATGCTGTTGTGAAATGCACAAAAACTGCAGCGGAAGACGAAGTAATCCGGTTGGTACAATATGATTTAAAAGTAAGTACCTACTATAGTCACTCACATATAGTTTTCATTTTTGAAATTTGGTAATGTCTCTGATTTCTCATCGGAATTCTTTCTGCGATAGAAGCTAATAGAAATACATCTGAAATTTCTAAAATAATGCAATCTCCTTGCATTATTCTAGAAATTTCAGGTATATATTTCTATTAGCTGATCCTATTGCAGAAGGAATTCCGATGAGAAATCAGAGAAATAACCAAATTTCAAAAATGAAAACTATGTGAGTGTCTATAGTAGGTACTACCTTTTGAATCATAATATACCATCCGGATTTCTTCATCTTCCGCTGCAGTTTTTGTGCATTTTACAACAGCACAATGTGATGGCATTAGCGAATTGATGAATAGCGGAAAAATACGATTCATATGCCAAAATAATTGTGGAAAACTATTTCGATCACTTGTAAACAAATATGTTTTGCCTCCAGGGTCGGTCATCTGACAGTTCTTGCACGCGACCTATATGGTTATATAACATAACCAATAATGATATTTCCATGTTCCATCTGTCATAAGTGATAAGTCTTAAATGTTTGTAGATAAATCTTAAGTCTTAAAGTTTTTTATAAAGTGGCCCATGATCTCAAAAATTCCAAATCGACTCACCCATCAGAGTGTAGGCGACGTTTGGCGGCATGACGAACACCCCCACCAGCCAATCGGCCACCGCCAGCGACATGACGAAACAGTTGGTCACGGTGCGCAGGCGCCGCGTCGTCAGCACGGCCAGGATGACGAGCGTGTTGCCGACGATGACGATGACAATGACGACGCTGAGCAGCACGGCCAGCCCGATGTGCTGCAGGTGGATGTCCAGGGGGGCGACGGGGGAGCAGGCAGTGCCGTTCGGGTGGGGCGGGGCGGTCGAGTCGGTGGTGGAGTTGCCGGACATGCCGTGTCATTTCTGGAATAGAAAAAATTGTATGTAAGATTCGTCCAATCGTTTGGTGGAATAATGAGAAATATCCGAAAATGCTCCATTTCCAGGATACAGGGTGTAACGACCTTTACTTCATATTCTCCTGTTAATGCAAATAATTCCTTTCCGCAGCAAGATCTAGGTGATGATTGCCTCAGAATCAAAAGCCTCTCTGAAAAAGAAGTGGCATTCGCTTTAAAGAAGCTGAAACCAAGCAATACAATGGGCCCTGATAAAATTCCTGCATTTTTACTACACGATTGAGCTACAGTTTTTGCGGAACCTTTAACAAAGCTTTTCAATTTGTCACTCTCTCCCAAGACTTTACCAATGTCATTAAAACAAGCAAAACTTGTACCAGTGCATAAAAAGGGAGATAAACACGATGTCCTAAATTACAGACGTATCACATTAATAAACAATTTCTCGAAATTGTTCGAAATAGTGATTTACCAGCCAATTTTCTATCATGTTAAGAACCAAATTACAGAATCTCAACATGGTTTCATGAGAGGAAGATCAACTTCAACAAATTTATTCTGCTTAACACAAAGTATATGTAATGCATTTGATGAGGATGCACAAGTGGATGTTATCTACACAGACTTTTCTAAGGCTTTCGACAAACTTGATCATTTTCTTCTTCTCAGTGAATAACATAAATTTCAGCTGTCGCTTGATGTACTTGATTTTTTATCATCCTATTTAATTAACCGATCCCAATTTGTTGACTGCAGTGGACATAAGTCTGTGGAGTTTTCACCCACTTCGGGAGTCCCTCAGGGATCCGTATTAGGGCCATTACTTTTCATCATATTCGTCAATGATATAATACATGACATCAATGCGGATTGCCTGATATATGCAGATGATCTGAAATTATTCACCAGAATCACAGAACATAATGATTGTCTTTCTCTTCAGGAAGTCCTGACAAAAATCAATAACTGGTGTACACGAAATCGCCTGCTGCTGAATGTTTCTAAATGTTGCATCGTTTCATTTTCCCTAAAACGCACTGTTACGCACTTCGATTACAATATCAACAACACTGCTTTACCCAGAACCTCTACTATACGTGACCTTGGTGTTACATTTGACCAGAAATTATCTTTTGCAGATCATATCCAACGAATCACGAAGGAGTCATTCAAGGCATTAGGATTTGTTATTCGAAATTCCGCTAACTTCAGAGATATCAGTACATATGAACAACTTTTTTTATCATATGTTAGGTCAAAATTAGAATATGCCTCTGTTGTTTGGTCTCCGCATCATATCACTCATATGGAAACATTGGAGAGAGTTCAAAGGCGATTTCTGAAGTTTCTTGCTTTTATAGAAGATGGGGCTTATCCTCACAATGGATATCCTGAGGTTGAACTCACTCGGAGGTTTGATATATTAACCTATTAGTAAATCGCAGAATGATTGCACAACAGGTGTTTCTGTGGAAAATACTCCATGGGCACACTGATTGTGCAAATATTCTTCACATGCTTGATTTTCACATTCCTAGGCTAACAAGTAGACAACATATTTCATTCCATCTACCGATTCCGCGCTTGAATACGATGAAATTTTCACCACTGCATACCATATGCAAGATACATGACGAGCATGTATCGCATCAAATAGACATATTCTCCTGTAGTGTGGCATCAATAAAAAAGTTGAATTTTGGATAAAATTTTCAAATTTTTGATAACTCTCAACTTTGTATCGTCATCAATATTTCACCTCGAACATTTGTACTTGTTATATTGTTGAATATTATGTACTCATTATCCCTACTCTATAATTGGATGTATATCTGGTGAGTAGTGTAAATAAAAAAAAAAAAAAAAAAAAACAGAGACTATTCTAGTATTTGACTTGAGAGGCCTCGGGCGCCCGATTGTTCATGAGGTGGTTTACTCCATCTGCTCTGCACAAAGATATTCTTGTACAGTGGCCCAAAGTAGCAACAGTGGAGACAGGTACAGGAGGTATACTTACCTCGGTATACCAATAATATGAACCAGGGGTCAATGTTATTGAATCGACCTGAAATCAATATGGAGCCAAGGGATTGTTGGCTTTAATTACAAACCCTGGGTTCAGCCTGGGATACTGGTTGCTATTTCAAGTCTGGATAACTACAGGAATCAAAGCGAATATCTGTCAGGTCTCTGGTATTTTTAGGTTAGGCCTGGAGAATTATTTATGCAAACTATTTCATAAACTCCACCTGGAGAATGGGAAACACAGTTCCAAACGAATTAAACAAGTCAATTCAATTTCAGGAATGGTAAGTTGTATTTCAGAATTGGTAGATTCAATATCATGAAAAAAATCCTTATATTTGTTCGAAATGTTCCCAATTGCATGTGAAATTAACAAACCATATTTAAAATATTCAACTTTTCAGAAACAATTTAATCCACAGATGCCTTCCATCTGAATCGCTGGAAGATAGTGGCGTTGCACAATCATGATTATAAGAATGCAAACACATTTGAGGTGTTATCATTTTCATTGAATGATCTGCACATTCTTCAAGACATCGCAGTCTGAATTCTATCTGGTTGAGCAATCTGTCCGGATCTCCAGCTATGACCCTTTGGCGATGCTCTTGCAAGAAGCTCTTCACTTCTGACTTGAAGGCACCCCATATATGTTCAATCTGATTCAACATAGGGCTCTCAAACACCGTTCCATCCACTGTAAACAATCTTCTCTTTTGCAATTAAAAACATTTCAAACATATAAAAGGATTTCATCTTCTGAAATTGAACCTACCAATAATAATTCTGAAATACAACTTACCATTTCTGAAATTGAATGGACTTTTTTCTGAAATTCATCTCACCGATTCTGAAATTGAGTTTACCATTTCTGAAATCGAACTAACCAATTCTGAAATCGAGATTACTTTTTCCGAAATATAACTTACCGATTCCGAAATTGAAGTTGAAAAGGTATAGAACAAGAAGATGCACATATTCACTTTTGAAGATACTGTTGGACATTCCTTCGTTTTTCAAGGAACTGTCACAGTGTCAGATCCTCTTCACTCCGCTTATTTATTTCCCTTATTTTTAAAGGTGGTGGGGAGTCTGTAATGAAGAGTATATAGGTATAATATTAACTACTCCAGAGATACATTTATGCTTCAAGTGTGTGATTTTCGTTTTCAGGAAAGGAAATGTTACATACCTTCGTCCTCGTTCACACTTTCTTCGATGGTCTCAACAATCGGGACTAGGGGAAAGTGACGCCCAGTTCGTCCTGTACCTCAACGTTGAATGATTCGTCCACAAGGGAATTTGTGGAATCTGTCTCGATTGTCACGTTGTTGCAGGACCTCTTTACGTCGATGTATAGATTGGTGCACAAGACCTGAATTTTTGCAGCTACATTTTCTTGTGCAGATCTTGACGCATCTGCATGACACCCGACACAGTGGTTCGGGAGAAGCAGTGGCTTTTAGAGGGGTAATCGGTTTAACGCAATTTGTTGTTCGTTTCGAACCCCAATCTTTGGCATTTTTCTCAACCCTCAGCCATTGATGCAGCTGGTAATTCACCCTGAAACTATGTTGTTTGGCTACAGCAGCTAATGGTGGTAGTGCAGCAATTTTTGATGGGGCTTCGAAAGATGACATCTTTTAATTCGTGGCCAGCGTAAGCTCGTGGTTGAAGCATCAGCAAGTATTCAGGATCACATGTTAAAAGGTGAGACCCCCGTCATTCCTTGCTCGCACAAGTCTCTTGAAGACTTTCGAGGGTTGCTCGTAAGGGGGCAACCGATTGATGGATAAGAACTTTTTTTTTCAAGAACATTAATTGATGTACCTCAGACGGTTACTTGACGGTTCAGTCCTTTCTGTGTAATCGTGGACGTTGACCAGGAATCTGCTACCTCCTGCTGTAATGCTTTTTGGAGTTGCCTCAATGATTTCGAACACTCTTACAAGGTTAGAGTTTTTGATGAGACTTTTGATAATCTTCAATTCCCCTTGGCTGTGAGGTGCTGAAGTCGTATCACAACCACTCATTGCGAGAATAAACATGATATGTTTTCTTTGATGGTTTTATTTCGCAAAGTTGCAGAGGAGAGTAGGTGGTTGAATGAACGTTTCCCATTCCTGGTTTCAGGAAGGATACGTTTTCTTCTTGACAAAGACACGTGAAGGATGACCAACAAGTTGATGTCCCCTCCAACCACCACAAGTCTCAGTACGTTCAGCCAAAGACAGGGCTTCGTTCACAAGAGAGGTGTCGGCGTCATTTGTGGCATGTCTCCATGTCATTCCTGGAGGGTGTAACTTAGCTATGATCATGGAAATAAATCTCCTTTTGTTGTTCGTATTGGCCAGGAATTTTTATTCCTTTATGATCGGTATCATGTTCTCATCGAATAGAATGTCAGCGGAATTCGTTTTTATAGATCTCTATAACCGTTCAGCACTTTTTGTTTCGTACTTTCGTACCTTCGGGGTATCCATCAAAGACAAATACTGTCTGTGCACTCTGTGGCCCATGAACATGAATGACCAAGTCAATACACCTGTTGCATATTGGGTGATAAAAACCCACTCAAGTGTTCTATACGCAACATTTTAACGAACTGATCTTCTGACCAGGAGATCTCACGCAAATTTTGGAAATAAATCAGAACTTTATATTCGGCAATCATGAAAACCCATACAAAATACGAGCCCATTATAAATCATTTACAATAAACAGTATCATAGCAAGGGCGATTTCCTCAAAAACGGTGAATTTCACTTTTTTGACGTGCTCTAGCGGAGGAATAATGGTTAGTTTTTCAAGAAAACGGTATCGATAAAAAAATTTGTGATTTAGGGTTTTTGTCTTTTTAATTTTGTATTTCAAAGTCTGATGTATGACCCTGTACCTAGTATTCAATGAACAGCCGAAATACAAAAGCGAAAACATAATGTTATCTACTATCAACACATCAGATAT